ATGGAATATTATTCAGCCATAAGAAGAAAACAAATCCTACCATTTGCAACAACATGGATGGAGCTGGAGGGTATTATGCTCAGTGAAATAAGCCAGGTGGGGAAAGACAAGTACCAAATGATTTCACTCATCTGTGGAGCATAAGAACAAAGCAAAAACTGAAGGAACAAAACAGCAGCAGAATCACAGAACCCAAGAGTGGACTAAGAGTTGCCAAAGGGAAAGGGACTCAGGGGTTGGGGATAGTGGGAAGGGAGAGAGAAGGAGAATAAGGGGCATTACAATTAGTACACATAATGTGGGGGGGGGGGCGCGGTGAAGGCAGAATAGCACAGAGAAGACAAGTAGTGACTCTATAGCACCTTGCTACACTGATGGACAGTGACTGTAATGGGGTGTGTGGTGGGAACTGGATAATGGGGGGAATCTAGTAACCACATGGTTGCTCATGTGATTGTATATTAATGATACCAAAATAAAAAAAAAAAAAAGAATACAGCACAAAAATTTATGTTTATTCCAGGAATACAAGATTGGTTTACCACTTGAATATCAGTATAATCAACCAGGTTAATAGAATAAAGGTAAAAAATTATATTATCATCTTAAAGACTTTATCAAAAAAACTTCTGATTAAAAAAACTCATAGCAAATTAAAGGAATTTCTTAATCTGTGAAATAGTTTCTAAAACACACACACACATACACACGGCCTAACGTAATTGGTGAGATACTGAAAGCTTTTCCTCTGAGACCAGGAATAAAAGAAGGATGACCGCTATCACCACTTTTAATTTGACATTGTACCGAAGATGTTAGCCACTGTGAGGGAAAAAGAAAAAGGACTGAGAAGGGAAGAATACAATTCATTATTTTCACATGATAAAATCACGTACCATTAAAATCCAAAGAATTTACAGATAAATCAGAATAATTAGTAAGAGAATTTAGTGAAACTGCTAATTCCAAGCTTAATAAAATCAATTGCAGTTAGAGCAACAAATTTATTATTTTTAGAGCAATAAATTACTATTTATTTTAGAAAATAGAAATTTTAAAGGAATATCATTTATAATAGAATCAAATTTTAAAGGGATATAATTTATAATAGAATCAAAAATGTCAAATATCTAGGAATAAATTTAACATTACAAGCTTTCCAAGCAGAAAATGAAAAAACATAGAGACTGAAGACCTAATTAAATGAGGGACTATCGCCATTCACGGATTGGAAGACGCAGTATTACAAAGATTTCATTTCTCCTCCATCTACAGATTCAATGCAGTTTCAAACAAAATTCCATCAGGGGTGTATGTGTGTGTGTGATTTAACTAGCTGATTCCAAAATTTACGGAAAAGCAGACAGTCTTAAAAACTCAAACAATTGTGAAAAAGAATGAGATGGATGGATTCTTTTGAATGGAAATCAGAATTTAATAGAAAGCTACTGAAAGTAAGAGAGTTGTGCTATACTGGCACACAGATGAAAGCAATGAACAGAACAGAAAGTTCAGAAATTGACCCATATCCCACAGAGCAGTAATGAAATTAAAGTCTTTCCAATCTGTGAGCTAAAACAACTGGACAGCCACGTAGAAAAAGATGAGATCTGACCCCTTCCCCACATCACACATGAAAACCAATTCCAAATGGAATGAACCTTTGATAAGATATTACAGGAAAATGTCTTTTTAAACTCTGGGAAAGATTTCTTATCAGGACACAAAAACAGTAATCTTAGAAAGAACAATGCACATTGACTATGAAAACTAAGCATTTCTGTTAACCAAAAGATACTCATAAAAGAAAGAAAAGGTATGTATTTCTTGTGATACACAAAGCAAATAACAGAGTTGAAATCCAGAATATATAAAGAACTCCTATAAGTCAATTGGGAAAAAAAAAAATCGAAGAGAAAAAAAATGGGAAATTAAACAGATAATTCACAGAAAGGATATCCAAGTGGCTAACAAATTCCTGAAAACTTTCTTAATTTTATTAGGAATCATAGAGATGACAGTGAAAAGCATAATGAGGTGAACTATACACCCAATCAAGAGCTGACAGTAAGACTGAGAATTCCTACTATTGTTGAAAATGTAGAACAGTTGGAATTTCATACAATGACAGTGGAGTATAAATTGTTACCCTTTGGAAAATAGATGACATCATCTATTAAAGTCTGAGATTCATTACTGTAGGACACAATTCAGTTCAAGGTATATGTTCAACAGAAATGTGGATACATGTGCAACAAGAGGGTGTATTTCATAGCATCGTTATTTATAATAGCAAAAACTGGAAACAATCCAATGTAATAAAAGAAAAAAGCTTCCATTGGCAGTAGCAATATGTCTAGGAACGAATTTAACAAAAGATATGAAGACTATTCTAAAGAAAAATATAAAATATTATTGAAAAACAGATGATTCAAATAAAGAGAAAAATATCCCATGTACAACTCAATATTTCAAGCTGTTCTTTTGAACTGATCTAGACATTTATTGAAGTTCTGATAAAATCTTAAACATATTTTACTGTACATCTTGACAAAATGATGCTAAAATTAAATGTAAGAAGAGCCAAGACAATTCTGTCTTTTTCAAGGTATCTTATAAAGCTTTAAAAATCACAGTAGTGTAGTATAGAGAACTCAAACAGTCCCAAACATTTATGGAAACTTGGTATATGAGTGAGAAGGGATTACAAGTCATTGGGAAATAAATGAGCATGTAAGTGGTGTCAGGACAACTGTCCATCCATACGGAAAAAATCACATCCCTCCCCAGTTCCAATTAAATCAAAGACCTAAATGAAAAAATGAAACTTTAATGTTTTATAAATAGAAAGCTGTCACTACTTCAGCAGATGGGTGGATTTCTTAAACATGACACAAAAAGCATAAACCACACACAAAAAAAGATTAAAAAATTACACTACCTTCAAAATTACAAATTTCTATATGACAAAATAAATCATAATCAAATTTAAAAGACAACAGATTTACAAGTGGGAGAAAGCATTTTTAACATAAGCTACCCACAAATATTAGCACCAAGAATATTTAAAGAAGTTCTCTAAATCAATAATAAAATATTTTGATTATCACGATACTACTGGTAACGTGTAGGTACCAGCCAGTAAGAGAGAAAAACAAATATGAATGAAAACTGGAAAAGAGAGGCTGCTTTGGTGCATATGAGCTGAATGCCAGTCCTTCAGACAGAGAAAAATGTGAGTTCCCTCTCAGAAAAATGAAAAGGATTAAATTTGAAATGAATGTTTTCTTTCAGGCAGGGAATTAGCTTTAATTAAAAGAAAACTGAAGTCAGTTGCTTGGATTATAATATTTTAGGTTGAGTCATGGCCTTTTTTTAAGTAAGAAATTGTCAAAAACTGGCAATTTCATATGATTCAGCCTTTACATTCTTCATTTATTCATATAAATTGCATATATAAAGAATATTTCAACCTAAACAGCTAAGGTGAAGCTAAAGATAAAACTTGCCTACTAACTAATGAGCTTGAAATTAGTTTTCAAGTAAGACTAAAACTTGATTCTACTCAATTTTATGAGGCAGTTTTAAAGTGTTTTCCCAGAATTCAAAACAAAAAAACGGTTTTACAGCTCACCAAAACTGTAATTCTTTGCCAAAAATTGTCAAATATGCTAGATGATTATTCAAAGTTTAAAGCTGAATAAGAGAAAATCTAACTCAACTTAAATTGGTTGGATTTATAAATAACTATTTTCATTTTACCACCACCAGAATCAACTTCTTTGCATCATGACACTAAAAATTTCAGCTGATCTGAGTCTTGAAACAGCCCCACTGTCAGCTCTGAGCCTTAAAAGGTTCTTACAAAGTTTTTAAGAACAATCTTAAACAAAAGTGCTCTGATGGTTTCAGAAGTTGAACACTATATTTTGGCAGACATTTTAGCAAGTCAAAAATGAAGAAAACCAACCAATGAAGACAAAATAGGCTCAAACTTTCTTAGTATTTTTTTAATTGAAGTCCTGTTGATACATATTATGTTGGTTTCAAGTATACAACATAGTGATTCAAGTTACGTGCCTTATTAAATGATCACCCCACCTAGTGCACTTACTATCTGTCAAATAGGGAGATGTCACAGAAACACTGACTGTGTTGTCTATATTGTACTTTTAGTTTTTTATTCCTTTTTTCCCTTCTTTTTTCTCTTCTCTCCTCCTTCCCTTCCTTCAGTATTGAAAAAAAAATGTTAACAACTATTCATACCGATTAATCGCAGTATGTACCTTGTTCTTGGATTTTAACATATTTATCAATCTTTTTTTAAAAAAGAAAAATGTTTTTACCTTTGCCTCCCTTACAGTGAATCACAACGATATTTTCATTATCTTGAGCCATCCACTCGGCTACTTCCTTGGTGAATGTCAGCATCCCACTGATATCAAATGTAAGATTTTTAGTTGAATTAAAATACTTCCAAAGGATCAAGCCCAATGTATTTAACCAACTTGGCATAAAACTTACCTCAGAGAAGGGACATTGTGGTCATTAATCATTATTCGATGGACTCTATAATGGAAATACTTAGGATCATAATCTCTTTCACCTAAAATAAAGGATACATAGGTCATATCTCTGTACCTAATAAACATACTACATGATCGAGTTATGAGTAAGCTGTGTTTTCTTATTAGAAATTCCTTATCCACCTTTAAAAGGAATTTTCTAACTGGCTCCTCATCTCTAAAAGAAACTGACAGTCTCCAAAACATAAGGATAATAGTGTTTTGTCCATTTTGAAACTTAAACCCAACCTTTTTGGTTTGTTTAACAGGCTTTACTTAACATTTCCTAGCAGGCTACTCACTACGTCATCGTTGGGTAGTTAGACACCCAGAGCAGAAGCCAATGTGGCCACCCAAGTGCTTGCCTCCTAAAAATGTCTATTTAATATGCAGGAAGAGAGAAATCAAGAGAGCAGTAAACTGGGCTACAATCTGCTCTCACAGGCTTTCGTTTTCCCCCAGTGGGGCCCTGCTCTCCTCACGCCCCTTCCTGGAAGGTCAGAGAGTGCATGTGATGGGCTGTCTGCCTTCAGAACACAAGCTGGCAGGAAACACGGAAATCTTTTGCTAAAGCCAATGCCTCTCCCACAGACTCTTGTACAACGGCCCCACCTCTGCCCTGGGGCACCTCCCTCACGGGGCATTTATGCTGTGGAGCTCATGTTTCTTCCCAAATAGGGCCAGAGCAAGATGGAGGTTTTTTAACCCCCTTTCCACCACCACCAAATACTTCTCACTAAATGAAATATAAAAACTGAATCATCCTCTTCTATGCAGTGAACTGTTTTCTATCTATAAGTGCAACATCTAGTCGTGTACATACTGCATAGATTGTAGACTTGGTAGTGGTTTTGATGTTTGGTATTCAGGAATCGTGCAACTTCCTAAAAAAAAAAGATGGACACATATCTTACATATATCCACATGGCACCAACACAGCCCATTTCCTAGGAGTAACCTAAAATAGTTAATAGCTTTCATTCACTTGTCCCTCACTTAGTACCTTTTAGGAGAGATTCAGGGATGATGAGGATATGTATATTCTGAAATATTTAACTCACTGATGGTTTTCAAATAGCCCAAGTTATGCTTGACCACTCTGATTAGCCTCTATAATAAGTACACATTATTTAAAGCTACCAGAGAAGGAAATTAGATGGTGAACTAGCTTTGAGTAAATTTGTTCCAAATCATTAATTCACAATAACAAATCGTTCTTATCTAGATCTAATTCTGAACAAATATGTCTTTTAGATAATGGTCTGAATATTACAATTTACCTAAGCATTCTTTAAATAAATAAATGCAAAAAAAGTATGGTATGGTTGTGTGTGTGTATATGCATGATAGAAAAAGCTAAAAACATTATATCAAATTTTATGTAAGTGGTGGTAATATAGAAATTTTTGACTCATCTGTGTTTTCTTAGTTTTCTAAAATGAATATATAGAATGCATGTGCATATATTGCTTTTAAAATAAGTAAATAGTGGATTATTAAAATAAAACAACTTAATTTAATGTAATAATTTAAAATACAACAAATTAATATTAACATATATACAAGATTTCCAGCAAACGTATTCATCTGAAACACACATATGTGCACATCTCTGTGCAACAAAAGTGACTGTAAAGAAGTAAAAAATTGATTAGTATAGTACCATCAGAGGAATACAGAGAAAGAAAAATTCAGGTATCAAAGTGAATGATTAATTCAGTTGGTTATCTGTGTCAGAAGGAAGTCAAGAAGACAATCACTCTGAGCCTGCATAGTACTGGGGTGGGTGGCATAAATAGTCTTATACAAGAAAAAATTCATGGGATCCCTTAAACCAAAACAAAATCCACTGGGACTGAGGAATCCACAAAATTTTTTTCTTAAAAAAAATTAAAATACCATTAGTATACAATCTTATATTGGTTTCAAGTATCAACACAGTGGTTCAACACTTTCCCACATTATTAAATCCACACCCCCATGAGTATAGTTGCTATCTTGCCAACACAGGAAGATAAATCATTTATGAATATATTCTCTCATACTGTAGGATGCCTTTTTGTTCTGATGGTGTCCTTTCCTGTACAGAAGCTTTTTTGCTTGATATAGTCCCACTTGTTCATTTTTTATTTTGTTTCCCTTGCTGAGGAAATGTGTCAGAAAAATATTGTGCATGCTTATGTTCAAGAGATTTTTGCCTCTGTTTTCTTCTAAGAGTTTTATGGTTTCATGACTTATATTCAGGTCTTTGATCCATTTTGAGTTTACTTTTGTGTATGAAGTTAGACAATAATCCAGTTTCATTCTCTTCTCTTGTATTTAAGTGTCCAGTTTCCCCAACACCAGTTGTTGAAGAGGCTGTCTTTTCCCCATTGTACATTCATGGTTCCTTTATCATATATATAATATAATATATATATTGGTATCATTAATATAGAATCACATGAGCGACACTGTGGTTACTAGATCCCCCCATTATCAAGTCCCCACCATTACAGTCACTGTCCATGAGTGTAGTAAGATGCCAGAGAGTCACTACTTGTCTTCTCTGTGCTATACTGCCCTCCCCGTGCACGCCCCCACCCGACGTTAAGTGTGCTAATCGTAATGCCCCTCATTCCCCTTGTCCCTCCCTTCCCACCCATCCTCCCCAGTCCCTCTCGCTTTGGCAACCGTTAGTCCACTCTTGCATTCTGGGTCTGCTGCTGTTTTGTTCCTTCAGTTTTCTTTTGTTCTTATGCTCCACATATGAGTGAAATCATTTGGTACTTGTCTTTCTCCACCTGGCTTATTTCACTGAGCATAATACCCTCCAGCTCCATCCATGTTGTTGCAAATGGTAGGATTTGTTTTCTTCTTATGGCTGAATAATATTCCATTGTGTATATGTACCACATCTTCTTTATCCTCCTTTCTCATATATTAATTGACCATATATGAGTGGGTTTATACTGGGCTGTTTTGTTCCATTGATCTATGGGTCTGTTCTTGTGCCTGTATCACACTGCTTTGATTACTGTGGCTTTGTAGTAGAGTTTGAAGTCAGGGAGCATAGTCCCCCTCGCTTTGTTCTTCTTTCTCAGAATTGCTTTGGCTATTCATTGTCTTTTGTGGTTCTATAAGAATTTTAGGATTCTTTGTTCTAGTTCATTGAAAAATGCTGTTGGTATTTTGACAGGAATTGTATTGAATCTGTCAACTGCTTTGGGCACGATGGCCATTTTAACAATATTAATTTTTCTATCCATGGGCATGGGATGGAGTTCCATTTTTTGGTGTCTTCTTTAATTTCCCTTATGAGTGTCTTAGAGTTTTCAGAGTATAGGTCTTTTACTTCCTTGGTTAGGTTCATTTCTAGGTATTTTCTTCTTTTTGATGCAATTGTAAGTGGAGTTTTCTTGATTTCTCTTTCTGCTAGTTCATTTTTAGTATATAGGAATGCAACAGATTTCTGTATTAATTTTATATCCTAAAACTTTGCCAAATCCAGTTATTAGTTCTAATAGCTTTTCGGTGGAATCTTTAGGGTTTTCTATCATGTCATCTGCAAATAGTGACAGTTTAATTCCTTATCAATTTGATGCCTTTTATTTCTTTGTATTGTCTCATTGCTGTGGCTAGGACCTCCAGTACTACATTAAATAAAAGTGGGGAGAGTGGGCATCCTTGTCTTGTTCCCAATCTTACAGGAAAAGCCTTTAGCTTTTCACTATTAAGTATAATGTTGGCTGTGGGTTTGTCATATATGGCCTTTATTATGTTGAGGTACATACCCCCTACACCCATTTTGTTAAAGAGTTTTTATCATGAACGGATGTTGAATTTTATCTAATGCTTGGTCAACATCTATTGAGATGATCACGTGGTTTTTATTCTTTTTGTTAATGTGGTGTATGATATTGATTGATTTACAAATATTGTTAACATCCTTGCATCTCTGGAATAAATCCCACTTGGTCATGATGGATGATCTTTTTGATGTATTTTTGAATTTGATTTGCTAATATTTTGTTGAGGATTTTTACATCTCTGTTCATCAGGGATACTGGTCTTTAATTTTCTTTTTCTTTTGTGGTATCTTTGGTTTTGGCATCAGAGTATTGCTGGCCTTATCAAATGAGTTTGAAAATATTCCCTCCTCTCCTACTTTTTGGAATACTTTAAAAAGGATTGTATTAGCTCATCTTCAAATGTTTGGTAGAATTCACCTGTGAAGCCATCTGGGTCTGGAGTTTTGTTTATTGGGAGTTTCTTTGTTACCAATTTGATTTCATTGTTGGTATTGGGCTGTTCAGATCCTCTGTTTGTTCCTGGGTCAATCTTGGAAGGTTGAATTTTTCTAGAAAGTTGTGCATTTCTTCTAGGTTGTCCAATTTATTGGCATATGATTTTTCATAGAATTCTCTAATAATTATTTGTATTTCTGTGGTATCTGTTGTGATTATTACTTGTTTCTGACTTTATGTGTGTAGACTCTTTTTTTCTTTATAAGTCTGGCTAGGGGTTTATCTATTTTGCTTTATTTTCTCAATGAACCAGCTCCTGGTTTCATTGATTCTTTTCTATTGTTTTATTCTTACCTATTTTATTTAATTCTTCTCTGATCTTTATTATGTCCCTTCTTCTATTAGCTTTGATATTCATTTGTTCTTCCTTTTCTAATTTCTTTTAATTGTGAGTTTAGACTGTTTATGTGGGATTTTTCTTTTCTTTTTTTTAGGTAAGTCTGTATTGCTATGTATTTTCCTCTTAGAACTGCCTTCACTGAGTCCCACATATACTGGACTGTTGAGTTTTTGTTTTTGTCTCCATGTATTGTTTGATTTGTTTTAATTTATTCATTGATCCATTGATTATTTAGAAGCATTTCATTAGGTTCCACGTTTGTAGGCTTTTTTGTTTTGTGTAATTTATTTCTAGTTTCATACTATTGTGGTCTGAGAAGCTGCCTGACATAATTCCAATCTCTCTGAATTGATTGAGGATCTTTTTGTGGCCTAGTATGTAATCTATTCTAGAGAATATTCCATGCACACTTGAGAAAAGTATGTATCCTGCTGCTTCTGGGTGCAGTGTTCTGTAGATGTCTGTTCAGTCCATTTGATCTAACGTATTGTTCAGTGCCTCTATTCCCTTGTTTGTTTTCTGTGTGGTTGATCTATTGAGGTGAGTGGTGTGTTAAAGTCTAAAATGAATGTGTTGCAACCTATTTCCCCCTTTAATTGTTAGCATTTATTTTACATATTTAGCTGCTCCTATGTTGGGTGCATAAATATTTATAATTGCTACATCCCCTTGTTGGACTGACCCCTTTATTATCATGTAATGTCCTTCTTTGCCTTGTTCCTATCTTTGATTTTGAAATCAATTTTGTATAAGTACTACCACTCCTGCTTTTTTTTCAATATTGTTTGCATGAACTTTTTCCATCCCTTCACTTTTAGTCTGTGTATGTCTTTAGGTCTGAAATGAGTCTCTTCTAGGCAGCTTATAGATGGGTCTGTTTTTTTATCCATTCCGTAACTCTATGTCTTTTGATTGGTGCATTCAGTCCATTTACCTTTAAGGTGATTATTCATAGATATGTACTTATTGCCATCTTATTAACTGTTTTCTGGCTGTTCCTATACCTCTTCTCTGTTCCTTTCTACCTCTCTTATACTCTTCTCTTATTATTTGATGGCTTTCTTTTGTGTTGTGATTGGATTTCTCTTTTAAAAAATTACTTTTGTCTATCTATTGTAGGCTTTATTTTTGTGGTTACCAAAGATTCAAGGATAGCTTCCTGACTATATAGCAGTCTGTCTTAAGTTGCTGATTACTCTATTTCAAACACAACCTGAAGGTACTTTCTTTTCCTTCTTCTTCCTCCTCCACACTATTTATATTAGATGTCATAATCTGAAATTTTTGTGTATCCCTTGACTGATTTTGTGTATAGTTGATTTTGCTTCATTTTGTTTAATTTTGTACTTGCTTGGTAATTAATTGGTCTGCTACTTTTACTGTGGGTTTATTTTCACTGGTGAAAGCTATTTAGCCTTATAGACATTTCCATCTACAACAGTCTCTTTAACATATCCTGTAAGGATGGCTCAGTGGTGGTAAATCCTTCAACTTTTGTTTATCTGAAAATTGTTTAACACATGCTTCAGATTTAAATGATAATCTTGCCAGGCAGAGGATTCTTGATTGGTGGTCCTTCTGTTTCAGTACATGAAATAAATCGTGCCACTCCTTTCTGGCCTGCAGATTTCCTGCTGAGAAGTCTGCGGACAGCTTTATGGGTTTCCCTTGTAAGTATCTTTTTTCTCTCCGGCTGCTTTCAAGATTCTCTCCTTATCCTTGATTGTTGCCTGATTGTTGCCCTTTTAATTATTATGTGCCTTGCTGTTCTCTTCCTGGGGTTCCTTTTGCTAGGGGCTGTCTGTACTTCCAGGACCTGTCTGTTTCCTTCCCCAGATTGTGGAAGTTTTCAACGATTATTTCCTCAAAGAGACTTTCTACCCCTTTGCCTCTCTCTTCACTTCCTGATACCCTATTATGCAAATGATACTCTGTTTGGATCGGCCACATAGTGCTCGTCATTCTTGCAGCCCCAGAGACCCTTTTTCCCCCCTCTGTTCCTCAGCTTTGTTGTGTTCCTGTTCTCTAATTTCCATCTCGTTCACTGTCTCCTCTACCTGCACTGATCTGCTCTTAACTCCCCCCACAGTGTCTCACTTCACATACTGTATCCTTCAGCTCTGAGTGGCTCTATTTCAGGTCTTCTCTTTGTGGAAGTTCTCCCTGAGATCTCGAGTATTTTTCTGTACATCAGTGAGCATGTTTGAGACTTTTCTTTTGAAATCTTTATCAAGAAGATCGGTGCTCTCCACCTCAGTTAGCCCTCTTTCTGGTGCCCTGTTCCTGTAGTTTTGTTTGGAATGTGTTTCTCTGCCTCCTCATTTTGTTAGGGTTTCTGTGTTTATTCCTTTGTATAAAATGGCTCTGCTGTTTCCTGGCCTACAGAGTAAAGCTTTATGAAGAAGGCATCTACAGTGTCCAGAAGCTCAAGATCATTTACTCTCTAATGCCTGGTTCTACTTTGTGGGAGCCCAAGCTGCTGGTATGCAGTGCGCAGGGCGGCCTGTCTGTCTGTCTTCTGTCGTGGTCTGAGTCTGCATGGGCGGTTTGCTTCAGCCACCATGTTTGTGATCAGTGCAGAAGTCTCTGATGGGATCGCTGTAGGCGGGGCCACCTCCACCTTCCCTCAAGCAAGGGAGGGGCTTTGGAGTTAGTCGGGTGGGTGGGCTGATGTGCAGCTGTGCCGGGGCCAGATGTGCAGCCCCAGGCTTGGACACCCACAGGGAAGGAGGAACTCTTGGGTCTGGCTCCTGCAGGCACCTCGCCGGTTGGGCTGAAACAGAGCAGAGAAAGCTGGGAGAGTCCCCCTCTTCCTGCCAGGCAGCAAAGTCTGATGCAGCCTGTGGGCCAGGTGGGTTGGCTGCCAGCAGTGCACTCAGGGGGGAGCCTCGGGGATGCACTGCCAGTCAGCGGGGTGGAGCATCTGGGGCTCCTGAGGGACCCCAATCTGTGTGACCAAGGGAGGGCTGCAGAGGTATCCTCTACCTGCCCTGTCTCCTGAGGAGAGAGCTCTGTCCAGCCCTCAGACCTCTGGCACCCCTCCCGCTGCTGGCAAGTCTTTCACACTGCCACCTCTGCTTTAGGTCTCAGGGCTGGCAGAGCGTGCCTGCTCTCCACACTGGCTGGAGGCTCAGCCTCCCAGAGCGTTCCACCTGCCCCTGGGGTCCAGCCCTGCTAATCTCCAGAACCCAGTGTGATGTGGACTCGTGCTCCCAGAGCAGATCTGCAGGCCAGGTGCGCGGAGCTCCTGGGCTCCTACCCTCCCCCCACTCCGCTCCTCTTTCTCCTGCCTGCAGGCTAGGGTGCAGGGATGGCTTCAGTCCCACTCAGTCACAGCTCTGCCACCTTTTCTGTGTGATTTTCTTCCCCAGGTACACCTGTTCCCCAGGTGGTCTGTTCTGCAGTCTTCAGGGCGTTTTCAAGTTTAGTTGTATTTTCCATATTTTCTCCTTTTATGTGTTCTTGGAAGAAGGTTTCTGCTTTGCCTTCCTGCTCTCTCACCTTTTTCTCTGCCCCTCTGTGCTCTGACGTGTTCCTCTTGCTACTGGGGGACCCTTGCCACTGCCACCATGTAAGCGAGCCTGGACTGGCCTGCCAGAGGGTCAGACGCCACGTGGAGCCATCTGGCCATGCCATTTTAGACCAGCTCTCTGCAGATACCCAGGAGCTGTCCACAGGTGTGTGAGGTGGCCCAGCTGAGATTGGTTAAGCCTGTCCCTGATAAGAGGAACTACAAAGTGAAGCCCAACCGGAATTCACAAACCACTTTATCATGAACTACATGAATGGTTGATTGTAAGTAACTAGGTTTTTGGGTGGTTCATAACACAGCAAAATCTAATTGGCATTAATCCATTATAATTTTTTATCTGAAAGAGTACATTTTTAGGAGAATATGCCACCTCTGAGCCGGTTTCAAACTTATGACTCCACAAGATACGTTGATTGTGAAATATGAGCATTTGTTACATAAATACCCTTACCTTGATGGGATTCCTATAAAAAGACATCTTTCCAGAAGATGGGAATGACATGGCAATAATATGTTCTGGAAGACAAAACAGTCACTATTACAAATGTCATTATAGACATGAAACAATATATGAGAACTTAACTTACATATAATCAGACTCCTTCTTCATGGAAAAGAACTTTCAGGATTGAGAATGACAGAAGAAAAGCTAACTACTCTCAGGATAATCAAAATAACATTAAAGTATCCAGTCCAAAAACCATTAAAGTTGCATAGTTTTCCCAAGACTCACCTGGTCCCAGCCGTATGTGACTGGTTCGTTCTGACCTTAGTCTGAAGCCTCACCTGTGGTGGCATCTTACTTAAATACCAAAGAAAAGGGAGAGATCTGGGCCCCAGGAATGGCACTGACTCCCGGGGGGCTTTCCAGGGCTCCTGACTCAGAAACCTGACATCTACACAGCAATGGCCCTACTCTCTGGGATCCTAGGAAGAGAACAGGTCTCTCTGAGATTCCTGGAACCAGGATGACTACTAGAACTCAATAACTTCTAAACAAAACAAATGGAGTTAGCTAAAAATTCATTCACCTTCGTTTACTGTAACCAACTAGCCCTGATTTAAGATGACTAATAGAGATTTTTCCACTGTCAGAGTTAAACTAAAAATATGTGACAACAGTGGCATAAATCTTCATCGACAAAGAATGCTTTGAAAGAACATGGCTTAGATCAGGCAAGAACAAAACAATTACTCACACACACACAAAAATGTGAAATTAATATAAGCAAATCAACAAACTTCACCAACCAGTAATGTAAGTGAGATCTAAGTCAAATCCATCCTTCTTGTATCGCCGTTTATTTTCTGAAACCTGAGATTTTCAAACAAACATCAATTTGTAATTAACATAAAAATAAAGAATATGATAGAGATGTATACAACCTTTGCCAGTATTTACTGAAACATGAACATTTTTCTGAAATTATAAAGATATTTTGCTACTTGCCATCCTTCTGCACAGCTTTTCAAGACGTCTTTTTTGATAAGCCAGATGAAAGACTCTTAACAGAATGATAAGTCGCAGAAGTCGAAATACAGTTGACAGTCTAACAGTAAATTACAAAGATACATTTCTGATTCAGTAACAAGAGTCTGACAATACAGTTAGTTTAGAGAAGTTCTAGACTAAGTTCTTAAACAGGGTCTCAATTTTGCATACCTCTGCTGTTACCCCACGCTTGCCACCCATCCACCTAGGGGATATTTGGTAATGTCTGCAGACATTTCAGTCGCCACAAATGTGTGTGAGGGGTGCTACTTCTGTCTAGCATGTAGAGGCCAGAAACACTGCTAACCACCAATACACAGGAAACCCCCGTAACAAAGAATTATCTGGTCCAAAATACCAAGAGGGCTCAGATTGGGAAACTGGTTCAGAGCAACAGTTATATGATAGACTCTAAAAATTTGTGGATTTAGCTTTTGTGGTTTAAGAAAAGAACTTTTCAATCTTTTTTGTACCAAAACAAACTGAAGGTTCTTGTTTGCCTCATCACTCCCATCACTGACAGAAGTTCATTACAGCTGCTAACACACATTAGGCAGACAGCAGACAGATAATCCCCAAGTATTCTAACTAGTGTCTCTCTGTTCATCAGAAGGAAACACAATGGCTAAGAACTGAGGTTTAGACTAGTGCTTCTCTAAGTTGAGTGTGCAAACTAATTCACAGGTTTAAAGTGGGGACTGAGGTGTTTCCCTTGCATTTCTAGCAAGCTCTTAAGTGATGCTGAGATTGCCAATCGAGGACCATACCAGCTCCAGTTATTTTCAAACAACTCCAAAAGCTTGCCATGTAACGCCGAGTTTTGTTGGGGCCTGAGGTGAGATCCCCAAAAGGAGTGACTGCCCAACTAGTACGTGAGCCCAGACACCTACGCCCCGGGCACAGCTGCTCCTCTTTTCCTTGCTGCCACAGCACCACGAGAAGGAAGGAGGCCTCCGGCCTGCCACACACCTCTCAGCTGCCTGATGCCCAGCAGTTCTGGCTTCGCCTCAGCTTTCTTCATTCCAACTACACTACTCCATGCTGCTGTTCCCATCACCTATTTTTCTTTTCCATATGCCCTTTTTTAGAGAATTATCACTGGAGTCACTAAATGTTGCATATGCTCAAACCAATATTCTCCTGGTTATAGGGAAAACCCAGGAATTTCACGTGTAAGTTTTTTGTGGTTGGAGCTCAAATGGAAACTTAGTGGGGGTTTCAAAATGTAGAGAAGTTAAAGTTAATACAAAAGGCAAAGTCCCTGTTTCTCCTTCGGGCGTTCCATCTTCATTCAGCTAAAGGCACTCAGCATCTACACCCTTCCCTAGGCCCTAAATCCCACTATCCTTTAGTTTCCAAGTATACAGAAATTCACCTAAACAGTTCATTTTCAAGCAGCTTATTTGGCACAAATCAGCACATTCAGAGTTTAAAAGATCACACACAATAAAAGCTGCAGAAAATGCAAAAAAGTAAAAAATAAAAATGTTGAGAGGTGAATTGTATGTTTCTTACCTGGTAATATCTTTAAGAATCTCAATGACACAAAAAATGTAAAAAATATAAACAATATTAAACAGTAGAGTTACCACAATAATGACAGCATCTACGGAGTTAAGTATGTCAAAAAAATAAGACTGTACCCTGTAACACAAAAATAAAAACAAGTTCATGCTCTCGCAAAGAAGAGAAAGGCGAAGTCTAAGAGCACAGATCATCTGACTCATCCCCATTAAGAACTCTCCTCTGGTGAATCATTTAAACTGCATTTAATAGTCTAGACTAAAGGGAAAATATGTATATTCACTATTTTATACATATTTAAGACAAAAGCATCAATATAGCAATCTAAGAACAGTAAGAAACGTAAGCAAACCATTGAACAAGAGGCCAGCACTGCCCTCATACGGGGGAGAGGAAGGCAGGGTGCTGGACAGCGCCACAGGCAGGGAAGCGCCAAGTGTCCCAGTCTCAGAGGAGCAGGGCTGTGAGGATCGCAGCTGGTGAGGGGTGGGGGCGCTGCTGTGGCCCACAGACTCATCCCCCAGGGGCATCCCCGTGGGTTGGTACTTCCATCCACTGCGCCTCCCTTCCCAGCACTGGCCCCACAGCCATGGCTGTTGGTGCTCCAGGGAAAGCTCTGAGTTCTGGGGTAGCCCCTTTCAGGCTCTCGGTGACCCAGGAGCGGGCAGCTGTCCTTCGCTCAAAGGCCTGAGGATGCAAGTTCAGCAGAGGTGGAGACGAGCTGCCTTCTGAAATGCTCTGGAGGAAGGGAAGTCGGGGGATTTGGTCCCTGAATCCCACAGCGATCCAGCTCCAAGGCGTGGCTCACTCCACTTGCCTCCGCAAAAAGCCAGCAAATACAGAAAATCAGCTGCTGACTCATTACCAAGCTCGCATGATGAGCATGCCCAGATCTCTTGCGTAGCTTAAAAAGTTTTGATTTTAATTGAGGGAGGCAGTTGTTCATGATCTAATATCCAGTACTTAATATACTGTCAGCTTTTATTTACATTCAACTCTTAATGAAAGGATTTGTATCTATACTTTACATTCACGTTCCTCTTAATAATGTACATGTAGACACATCCTTGCCTGGCCCCACTTTGCTTTACCTGTCCAAGGCACCGTCTAGAACACATTGTTGACGAGCAGAGCACCAGGTGCAACGATAATATTAAAGCCCAAACTAGTAGAAACTGGAATTGGACTGTTGTTTCTCTTGTGGGTCATGCACTCAAGGGGATCGTTTTGATGAAAAGGAACGCATTTGGTGGGGTGAGCTGGTAATTATTTGGGGATGCTTTTCATAGCAGTGCAAAATCACTCTATGTGTTTTATAAAAATTGATCAAACTTACCCTTCTACAGATACTTGAAGAAGAACATCCGTTAAATAAAACAGAGCAATGACTAAAGAAAGTGCATGAATTCCCAAAGACATACACAGGTTGTCAGTGACAATTAGGTCTGTGATGATGAGGGACAAATCCACAAAGGTCAGCAAAACTCCAAATATTCTAGAATAAATAAATACATAGAATAAAGTTAAAGTAGTTTTTACCCCTCTGGTCAGACTACATGTAGGCCAATGATCTGATACCAAAATGACACGATTTAGGGCTAAACTGTCCAGAAGAGGAGGAACTGCACTGTCCTAGAATTTTCCCCCAAATTACTGTTTTCCCCAAGAGAAGCAGCTGTCAGGGAAGCAGCACTCCCAGCAGGTCACTTCATGTCACCATGCCTTTCAGTGACGGTCAGCGACGGACGGGTCGGACCAGCGCTCCAAGGAGAACAAGCAAGCTCACTCAGAGTTCTATGTCTTTGCTTGTAAACTCTTCTTAAAATTTGAGAATTTTATAAGGGGCTTCTATCAGTTTCTCATAATAAATAAAACCTTATTAATCTTAATAACTTTTAAGAATTTTGTAATTAAAAGCCAAGTGAAAGCATGACTAGCATAAGTCCTTAAAAGACCAACTGACCAGGAAAATTTTGTTACCCATGAGATTTTAAACAAGCACATGATCACATATTATTGGATGCTTCTAGCACAGTGCTGGGCACACAAGAAGGAATTCAATTCCATAAATACATACACAATTGAACTCTAAATCACTTCTGAAGCCTTTCTTTTATATATTCAAAACATTTCTCCATATATCGATTCATACTATTTGTATAATCTATGAAGATGAATTAGTCTTCAAAGTACTTTTTTATAATTGCAATGCAAATTAAAGTATTATAAATGTAAAAAGAACCAAGTATATTGTGTGACTCTGTATCATAGCATGAAATCTTACTACTGTATACAGAAGAAGCCTAAATAGAATGCTTCCGGAATTAAGGAGTAATTCTAGACAAATAAGATTTTTTTTTTGGTATCATTAATCTACAATTACATGAGGAACATTATGTTTACTAGACTCCCCCCATCATCAAGTCCCCCCCACATACCCCATTACAGTTATTGTCCATCAGCATAGACAAATAAGATTTTTAATAAAACATCTTACTCATAATTACATAATTTTAAAATGCATGCTTCATTATTTATACTTTTACATTTAGAAGCAGCATATTAATATGTTACTACTAGACTTAGGTATATGCCATTTCTTCTGCAATTACTAATGTTCCACTTAAACTAAAATTCCAAGAGAAATTAGATTCCATTAAATGGACCACAGGAGCTATTTATCAACATACTGATGGTGGAAATGTTTTTTTCCCTCCCAAATCGTTCCTCATTAAAAAGTGTGGATATTAATGTTACACATATTTAATTTCCTCCTTTCTAGGGTCTCACATACCTCACTGTTAAAGATGATAAAATTAAGTTCATAATCCACTTAATCACACTACTGCAAAAAGAAGCGAAAATAAAATTTCAGACTCTCCAAATTTATCCCAGATTTCTTCTAACATATAATATGAATTTAACCAATAGGCCTTAACAAATGTAATTTTAAACAAAATTTCTCCAGAAGCGGCATAAAAATACGCTTTTTGCTTATAACTATAAAATTTTTCATTTTCCTGCTTCCATAATTTTTCCTTTCATATATGCAATTTATATGAATAAAACACTAAACTGTAGATGTTTTGTAACATTTCCCTTGCCTGTAAAGCCCCAACCCCAACTTTATGGTAGTACTGAATTCGGAGTCATCACCTGGAACAACACGGCGTGGAGACAAGAGTGGCGAAGGCGTGTGTGTCCCAGCTCTCCCACTCACGGGCTGTGGGGTCCTGGGCCAGTCACCACACCTCGGCCAGACCTGTCTCCACAGCAATAAAATAAGGGACTTCAGAGGAAGGTGGGGAGTAAATGACACTCTTGTCCTACAATATTCATCTCTTGAAACGAGACACCCTGTGGATATGACAGTTAAGCACTGATGACAGTCACATCTGGGGCTGCAAGTGCAGTCCGGAAGCATGTCAGGAAGCTACATTTCAAAGGAGAAAACACCCTAGGGACTGGGCTTCTTCCGTTAATAGAAGGAGCAGGAAGGGCCTATTTGATGGAACCTCCAGTTATTCCTCATTTTACCCTATGGCTGGAGACAACGTAGCCTTTGGGGAGCAATTTCCACTGAGGCCTCTAACATGGGACCCATGCTCCACTCCCAAGTGGGATCAGTCCCAAGGCAGTGCTTATGGCCTGCACACGGGCCGTAGAATGGAACGGACAGACGCTAAGAGGAACCGGGGCACTGCCAAAATTGGCCAGGAATGAACACTGTTAGGCTCGCCTGAGTTATAAAAGCTCCGCCCACTCTAATCTCTCCCTCCTCCACCTGCACCCACTTCCTCTGCCCAGGTTTAGGGATAATCTTCCTGGGTAGAGGATTTTTTGTTTCATTACATTAAATATATCCTGCCACTCCCTTCTGTTCTTCATAGTTTCTGCTGAGAAGTCTGCTGACAGCCTGATGGGGTTTCCTTTATAAGAGTCTTTTTTCTCTCTCTGGCTGCTTTCAATATTCTGTCCTTGATCTTTGCCATTTTAACTACATCTTGGTGTTCTCTTCCTAGGGTTCCTTTTGTTAGGGGTTCCCTGTGCTTCCATACCTGAGTGTCTATTTCCTTTCCCAGATTGGGGAAGTTTTCCACAATTATTTCCCCAAAGAGACTTTCTATCCCTTTGTCATTCCTCTTCTGCCCGTATTATGGGAATGTTGTTCTGTTTGGATTGGTTATACAGCTCTTATTATTCTTTCACTCCTAAAGATCTCTTTTTTCTATGTTCTGGCTTTCCTTGATCCCTAATTTCCAGATCATTTACAACTTCTCCAACCTGTAAAAGCCTGCTATTAAATCCCTCCATTGTCCCTGGGCAAGGGAAACAAACGCAGAAATGAACAAATGGGACTATATCAAGCTGAAAAGCTTCTGTACAGCAAAAGACACCA